TATTTGCATTCTTTATTTAATAATAATTTATTGTGTGCTTTATGAAAGTATATGTATAAGGTAGCTGGACTTTAATAATGAATATCCAGGAGTGGGCGACTCTACGTGCAGGATTCACTATATACCCAGATAAGCAAGTAACACTCGCTTCTCTCAATAAGGTAATATATATAGGTAAAATAAAGTAATGAAACAAACTGAGAACCAAAGGTGATTTAATTGCTTTTATCCTTCGAATTTAATTTTTGTTATTAAAACTAATGATTTATTTTCTGTGATTTATTTTCTTCGATAATTTGATTTAACTTTCCCACGTTCTACTTAGTATTGGCATCACTTCTCATGAAAAGATATTCCAATATTTGGAAAAAAAAAAAAATTAATGTTTATTAAAACAACTAACATTTAACATTGGTTAAATTCACATTTTAAGCTAAAACATAAGTTTAGTTTTAATATTTGATATACTCAGATCTACTACAGAAAACCCTTTTTCACTGTTTAAGTCATGTTTCAACTGTATCATTTTAAATATTATTTTATTAACATTGTAATGCAAGTGTCAATAGCAGTCTCCACATTATAAAAAGACTTTTTTGAAGCAAATAAGAATTATAATTCTTCAATATTAAGATTTTAAATTAAACAAAATACTTAATTAAATTGTGTTCTTAAAAATCCATTATAGAAGTTTTTAAAATATTTATGTGAAAAAATTAATTTAAATTTAAATATTTAATTAATCACAAATTAAAATTGTATATGACAACAGTATCAAAATAAAAGGAGGTTTGAACTCTCAATTTTGATTCCAAAATTGATAAATGAAATTTTATATTGGATATAACGCGGAGTGAATTAAAGAATAGGATATCCATAAGCTTAAGTCTGTATTAGACTAAACAATAATAAGAGGTGTTTTGGTATTTCTTTTTTTTAAGCGCAGGTAAACACGATTTACAAGAGTTTTGGGTAGAGCAGGCTCAACCTAGATTTATGTTGTCCTCCATAGTCTAGTGTCCAATAAGAACCAATACAATTTTAGATTCTGCAAACTTATTTCTGTGAATTGTCAGAGATTATATGTATTGAGCATATAGACCATATCGCTTTTAATCGGCTGCTGAAAATTAAACCAAAACATGTTAGTTTGCCGCAAAAAGTTATCACATGTTAATATCGTCTTTTTCTTTGTTAAATTTTTTTTGTTCTGAAAACATCAGTCACTGATATTCTTTCATATCAAAAATTATATGCGATTTTTATGTATTTTTGTATTTTTATGTATTTATATATGTATAACTTTTTAAATTCGGACACTTTAGCAATTCAATTAAAAACAATGTAAATGATCTATCACGAAACCAATTATCGCATCTATAGTAGTGAAAATCTACAAATAACTACCAAAAGACCTCTGGAAAAGTCACTGTATTTTGTGGCATTTGGACTGTAGTTAGATTTTCAAATCGTCAATTCTCTTCGATATAGTCATACGATTACCAGTTTTTTAGAAATTTGAATATATGTTGGAATATATGTTGGATCACTGTTGTACCAGTGTGTTAAAATGCCAGTTTATTGGCATTATTTATTAGTAAATCTAGATTGAATCTAGATTCCTACACAATCTGTCGGATTTTGTTACCTAATCGACTATTTTTAGAATAATCTAACATTTTTGTAATTGTTAGTAGGCATTTAAATTTTTTATATAAAATTTTGTAATTGTTAGTAGGCATTTAAATTTTTTATATATTATATACACCTATATCTCCCTTAACGGCCGCTTGATGCAACTTCATACCCGCTTAACGGTCGGGCTGTATTTCTGGCAAGTACTGTCGAGTCATGACTGAATTTCTGTTTCCAAAATTTGATCAGTTAAACATCGACGACATTTCGTTCCAACTAGTTGCAAGACGACGTAACTTGTCATACAGCGCGTTTAACAATTTGATCAGAACTTTATTTCCAAAATTGGTTCTATTAACTAGCCTGTTAACCGTCTCATTCGTGCGGTTAATCGTTCTCTATCACTTTTTATGGGGCTATGTTAAGTCATTGGTTTATGCTTCAACTCTTGATGTATTGGAAACCAATATTCATGCCACCATTAACGCCATGAACTAAAATATTGAATTGATCGAATGGATCATGTAACTCCTAGCCGCGGCGGACATATGTCGGACTTTTTTAGTACTCATGCTACTAATAAGTCAACCGATTCGTTGTAAAAATTTTAATTATAAATATCATAATCGTTGAAATATTTTTTACCAAATAATATTTATTATAAGACATACATTCTGCTCAAAAATTATCAAAAATTCTTCTTGTTGTTTGTTAACTACTCCTTAAGTAATAGACATTTTTCAAAAAACGGGTGTTATGTTGGTACACCCGTTCTTGATATATGGTACAAATTTGAGCGCCATCTGTCAATTAGTTTGTTTACAGCAGCTGTTAATGTGAGACTACCTCAAGTGCATTTAGCGATTTTTACTATGGAAAATTCTTGTTGTACGCGATTTTTGGACCACTGTCATCGCTCAGGCACCATATTCGCCAGATCTGGATCTGTGTGACTTTTTCCTGTTCCCGAAACTCAAATTGCCCCTTCGTGGTAAGCGTTTTGAGTCGAGAATTCGCTGAAGGAACTAAAAGCCATACCTTCACGGGCCTACGAAAAGTGTATGGAAGATTGGGTTAAGCGTGTATCGTTTCAGAAGAAGCGAATCGTTTTTTGAAGGAGATAAAATAAATTTGGAATAAAATTTAAATTTGTGTGTTTTATTTACAAAATCCGAGTACTTTTTGAGCAGAAACTACTATATATTAAAATACAGTAAAAGATCTATTAAAGAATGCTTCAAATTAACGGAAAAGTCTCTTCAACATTCAAAATATTCATATTCTATATAAAATTCGTTCTTTTAAACAGTCTGATAAAATTGGTGGCTTCTTTGTTGACCGCTTAAGAGAGCTTTTCGTGCATATATTATATATTAAAATCTTTGATACAGTGAAAGCACTATGAAAGTCAAATATAGTTAATGAACAACTCACTACATCATACAAAATATTCGCATTCTATATAAAGTCCGTTCTTTTAAACAGTTAGTTCTCTTCGTCTGATAAAATTGGTGGCTTCTTTGTTGACCGCTTAAGAGAGCTTTTCATGCATTTATTATATATTATCTACATATTTTGATTGTTTGAGTCTTTTGAGCAACCAGTTAATCACCGTTATCAAAGTAATACCATTTTTTATTTTTTAAACAATTTTTGCTTAAAAAGTTTAAACATTTGAAAGTTATTTTCATCAACTTTCTTTGTGTAGGTCCCCCCACGAATACCTTAGATCTGGAAAAAGGTTCTGCGGGTAATTATGCTCCCGCTTTATTCGGTACAGACTGTCGGAGAGCTTTTTTTTGCTAAAAAAGCTTCGCTAAAAATGCGAGAACATTTTGTTTCGATTTTGAAAAGCTTTCGCATGCGTTTATTGTTTTTATTATAGAAAGAAATTTTTGGGAGTACTTCACTGGAATCGCCCATAAAGCTGGCACCTTGCTTTAGTTAAATTTTCTGTTTCACAACTAAACGGTTGGGTATTGACTAATGCAAGCAAAAGCTGCTGTTCGGACGAACGCTACTGAAGAAAAGAAAAAATTTAATGTAAAAGAAAAAATTTAAAATTTTGTAACATATTCTAGTTGAATGAAAAAACCAAATATAACACATTTAACTACAAATAAAATGTATGAATTTATTTTGTATTGTTTATGGAAAAAATTTAAACAATTTACCATAAAATAGTGTGTTAAGTACAAAATTTTAGTGATAAACGAATAGTGAGCCACTATCTTTCTTTCTTCTCCGCTAGAACGGGGGGAAAAATTGTGTACACATATTTGACTAATATGAAGAAGTTGATTAAGTTTTTGATTAAAAATAAATAAATGAGTAAATAATTAAAAAGAAGAATTAATCATATAAAATCCTTGAATTTATTTTTTTTTTTTCAATTCAAAAAAAATTTTTTTTTTATTTCCATTTTATGTACAATAATTTTTTTACCATATTTACACTGAAAAAAAAATATGTGTATGTAATAGAATTGTTTATTTAATTGAAAAAATTTTTTGTGATTAGTTAAGTGTTTTTTTTTTGCCCAAATCGAATCGAATCGATTGTAAAAATGTGATTTTTTAAATGATTTTTTGTGTATGTACATATATTTATGGAATTTTGGTAGAGGAAAAGACTTTCGATTGAATTAATTGCCACTGCGGTGCGTTGGCTTTGAGCTGCGCGGAATATGGAAGATGTGTGTACACTACCGCGCCACCACTTCATCATAAACACACTGATGTGTACACATCGGACAGATGTAGATAATTATTAGTTAGACAAATGTTAAACACTATAAGTTCAAATAATTATTTGAACTTACAGTTATCAATGATGTTATTGTGGGTTTAAGAGTTTCTTTTTCTACTTTTCTGAAATTCAGATACATAAAAATTAAGAAAAATTCAAAATAGTATCTTATGATTTGCAAACTAGAATATCAAATAATAGTTTTGCACAGCTGAGATTACAGAGTTACTCTCAGCAAATGCTTTTGAAAACAATCCAAACTCATACCTTAAGAGTTTGCGATACAACTGAAAATTCTTCTATGTGAAATTCTTCCAGTAATAGCATGGTTACTGCCAGATACATTGTACAGTGAAAAGATAGCAAATTGTTTTTCCTTTGATTTCAATACTCATTTTCATTACAGATAAAACAATATTAAATATAAATATAAATAAAATAGAAAATGAAGTGATGATGCGCATGTTAATTAGTTTCTATTTGAAAGGTACGTGAAATGTGTGAATAGTGCATCTTAAAATATTTGCCTAAAAGAAATAAATAAATAATTTAATAAAACAAAAAACAAAACAAATTAGCAAATACAATAAACAAAAAAATTAAGCAAACAAAAAAAAAATAAATAAAACAAAAATTAAAAACAAATTGGAAACAGATAAAAATAACCAAATATCATAGAATAAATGCGATTCTTCACTGCTGTTTGCTACAATTGCTCCTCTACAATCTGTTAAAGCACGCCGGAGAAAGCAGAACGGAGAAAGCAAAACGGAGAATCATCATTAAATAGAGCACAAGAGCAGATAGAGCAGAAGAGCGAGATAGTGTGATAGAACGAGAGTTAGTGAGTGACATCGTGGTACAACTAAAAATTCTCAAAACGCTATCTATCTACCTTATTGGAAAAGTGGACATCTTTTGCTCAGCAGGTAGGCGGATGTCAATTTGCAAATCAAAAGCAATTCATGATTTATTCAACCTCACACTTTTATTACTTTTAAATTATTATCTCAAGAGTTTGCTACTCATTATTAGGTATTAAAGAAAAATTAAGTATCTTTCAATATTTAATTGAATTTCTTTCAAAACAAAAACAAAAAACAAAAAAAGAAAAGAATCCCTTTAGTCTACCTTTCTTCTCTTTGTATTTCAAACTTTTGCATATGTGAACATCTCTAAGATACACATTCAGAGCATTATGTGGAAGATAGTTTTGAAGTGTTTTTTTTTATTTTTTGTTGTTGTAATTATTTTCAAAAGTTTTTATTTTGAAAATCATTGCCAAAAATTGTAAGTTTATTTATTGGATTTTCAAAAATCGTTGCCATTCAATAATATTTGAAAAACAAGCAATCCATCGAATGTGTGTGAATATTAGCATCATAGATTTTGTTTGATTATTCATCGTTTATGTACATTAAATATTCCACAGACTATGAGTGATGGGTAATAATTATAAACTATTAATTTTTAAAAATTGTAAATAAATACGTGCTTATCAAATATTATTAGTTTTGTTTTTGTTTCGGTTAATGAATAGACACATCAATAAATTAGTAATGGTAATGTAATTACAAGTAATAAAAAATTGTTATTACTTCATATATGACCAAATATTCCCAAACATATATGTACATATAGAATAAATGACCATATTAGATGTATAAAAAATTATAATTTGTTCAGAATTGCTAAGAAACTTTTACTAATATTTCTTAATTATTATTTTCATAATAAAAGGCATTTTATAGGTAAGACTATGTGCACAACTTTCATTCAACTTTTTCAACCAATTCTAGCTTTAACTTCTTAACTGACTAACATAACATTATGTGTATACCACTGAATAGCAAAAGGACTTCCTGACAAATTATGGTTTTGTGATTGACTTTATAGACAGCTGTATTTCCAATGTTTAATCTATGTATTAATGTCCTCTTGATTTGTTGGAACACATTGTGGCCACTGCACTACATTCATAAATTTTTGTGAAGACAACTGTTAGAAAAGCTCTAAAGCTTTCTATACATATTATTTCTCGACAACCACCTTTCAGTGCCCTACAAAAGATCAGATTTCATGCAAGTGTTATGAAGGTAGATTTTTACTCTAGGGAATTTTACATTTGGATTTTGCCATGGCAGTTAATATTAACAGCTTTAATATCTATTTAGTTACTTGTATTTATTTAAATATTAATTAGTTATTTATTTATTAGTTATTTATTACATTTGTAATGTCCGTTTTGACGAAAGAAACTAAATTCTTAATATAAACTATTATTTTTAATAGAGAGGTTTTTGTCGAACAGTAGTGAATTGCAACAACCAAGATTTTTATTATTTTTAATTAAATAAATTTTTCGCTGACCATACAGTTATTTCGAGTATTGCTAAATACCCATCATTAGTTGTCTTGGAACTGTTTCAATTTTTTATCATTCATAAATAATTTTTTAAGACTGCAAGTACCGAGGGTTGAAATTGTACCCTGCCAAATTTTATGATCAGAGTCAGTGTTCATTAATAAACTGACCCAAAGCCGTACTTGAATTGTGTATTTGTATTAGGAATTTTTTTGTTAATCTGCTGGTTATTTGCATAGTTATTTGTATAAGAAAATTCATTAACTTTTTTAATAATTTCATAACTACTTCAAGAATGCATAATTTGAAGAATTATTAGGTGTGGCTTGACTTGAATGACTAGACATTCAGTTATACATACAAAAGTTGGGAACATATTACAAAATCATCCTAGCAAAATCATCAGTTTTGCTGTTAATGTAGCTAATATTAGTGTGGTGATTAGAAATAAGTGAATTGAACTTGGGTCCAAGTAGAAGAACTTTGCTAGCTTAAAGGGTCCGACCTACAAATCAATAGAATTTAATTTATTCGGTGCGCTAAGACAAGTGAATAGATGGAACATTCAAAAAAGTAGAGTTGCAGTGGTACCTTAGCTTACAAGTGGCAAGTGACAATGTCGCACATGACAATATCTGGACCTCAATTGGACCAGGGCAATTCTTTCTACTAGTGTGATGTTTGTTAATATAGTCATTGATATTTATTAAATGCTTTCAAAGTTTTGCCTTTTTAGTTTAATATATGTTTTTCAATGAAGTTTTAATTCAACTTTTTTCATTTATGAACACTAAACGGTATGTAAACAAAAATACAAATACCTAGGTCTGGTCAAATTAAAGCATTCTGCTGCAGAAGCTTACGAATTAAGGAGACTATTAAAAGTCCCACAACCAAATCACATAGGCATAATTTATCTCTTTTATTAAATTTTCACAACCAAATCACATAGGCATAATTTATCTCTTTTATTAAATTTTCATCGAGTACGTGGAGTATATCCTTTATTGAATCAAGTACGTGGTAAGAAAATGGGGCTTATGCGAACAGAATAGGGATTACTGTTGTCGGTTATTTTTGTCGGGTATTTTTATATTTTATATTTTTTTTTCTCTTCCAAATAGGAAAAATTATATTATAAACTATTATATATAACAATATTTATTATAAATATGCATATATAACAATTTTATAAATTATATATGGGCATGTAGTAGAGATACAATGAAATTTATCATTTTTTTTCATTCCTTCTAGCACACGTTTATTCATATGTGCTTCATTATTGCACTATTTATAATAAGTTTGTTAATGGTTACTGTATAAGTTGTGTTTGAATAATGTTAAACAGTGCAAGAACAGTGCAGAAAAACAATAAATTGTATAACCTTAAATAAATATGGCGGTTTCATTGATTTGAAATGGATTCAATGGATTCAATGGATTACACAGAAAGTGCTGACTTACCGATTATTATTATTAAAATAAATAATTCTTTGTTATTACTAAAAAATTTATAAATACAACAAAATGAAAGACTTTCTTTACAAATATCGCAAAATTTTTGCGAATTTTGTACTGACTTTGTACATCCTTCACATTAACGGTGAACAAATGAATAGATTTTAGTTGCCAAAGTAAAAAGAAAGTAGCACTTGACAACCTCCCATATTCTTGATGACTGTAACAAAATAAATTGATAAAGTGTTCTCAGTTCTGTCAGTTTCAATAATGTTCTTCAATTTTTTAAATAAAATCTTGAACCATTGCGAAGAAATGTTCTTTGAATGCAATCCAATAAACTTTACAAAAAAGTTTCGTGCTATGATTTTCGTTCAATCATCCCAATATTATTACTTTTAAATTTTATAGTTAATAAAAATTTTTCTGAAAAACTGCAACCAAGTTGCATTACCAAGTTTATTTTTCAAAGAAATCACTGATTCACCACTCGAACAAATTAATAACCTCAGTCTTAATTTGGATACAGATTAGATCATAATTGGTCGCATTATAGTATGCGATACTCAGCTGTTATCACATCAATAAAAACAGCAATGCATGTGTTTGTATAATGTATTTATTTATTTATAAAACCACCACTTCAACCAAAGATTTCTTATATGATTGGTTGGTTGTCAATATTCGCAGGTCAGGAGATATCTTTCCGCTAATCACAATAAGCGATTTTTCGCCATATTACTACTATGCAAAAAACCTTAAGTTAAAAAAAGCAATGAAGGACTAAATGCGTTCCGTAAAAATTAGATAATTTAACATTTACGTAGATAGCATAGGTAATTTTTCATCTGTATCAATGAACAGTATGCTAAACTGTTAAAAATGTACTCTGTTTTCAGTCCTGTCTGTTTCCTGTAACGAACCTGTTTTTTCTGAACGCCATACCTTTACATACAATTGATATTAAAGCTATTTATGATGTTGGACTCAATAAATATGTCTTCTTCTTCTTTCTATAAAGCATTTTTACTTATTTGTCCCTGTACGCACTTGGATGATCCACTGTAATAAGAGTTCCGTCGAATTTTCATAATAAGTTATTCAGATGGTTTTATAGAAATGAATACAAGAATGAATCTTATGAAACCGGGACAAAATAAGGAACTCGGCGTATGGGATTATCATCCTTCAAATAAAGTGGAGTTAAGCTGTTGTCAGCGGAGCAAAGAACATATCAATATTGGGTCTTGATTGTTAATGTAATAATTAAAAAGATAGGTTAAATATATACTTTTTAAGTTGAATAACTTAACTGAGTCACTTCATAATACTTGGTAATCCTAAACTTACCATAAAGTACACTAGATGGACTAGTACAACTTTTAAACAACTGTAATGTACATTAAACATGCTAGAGACAAACTTTTTAGTTCTACAATTGAAGAGTATCTTACAATTCAGAAGTTAAAATTATTAGAAGTGTGTGAAATTGTAACAAATTTTTTGTGATTTATATAGTAATACATTTGACAAACAGGCTAGAGTAGATCTCTAGGGTGACCATAGTAACCAAACCTTATTTAAGGATCCTTTAAGTTCTACAATATGTTAACTGTTATGTTATTAAATTGTTTTTTGTTACTAAGTAATTAATCATTTTATAAATATGATTGTTGGTAGATACTAAAACTTGACGTGATGCTAATTATTATTATTATTATTTCTCTTTTTAAATATACTATAGTAAAATCATCGGCCTTTTTAAAAGTATCAAACCCTTTAATAAAATCAGAAAATATTAAATTTATATTTATCTTTAATTATATTTCAACTTCAATTTCCCTTTTATTCCATCATACAGATGCTATTCAAGTTTCTAGAATATGGACTTTCTATCTCTTAAAATACTTGGTCCTAAAATTACTTGGTTCAAATTATTATCAAATTTTTAAAACTTTACATATATTGAAGAATATCTTGTGCTCTACACCTGCTGTCTAAACTGTGATTTAGAGAAGATAAGAAAAATTTGTTTTACTCATCTACCAGCCTGATGCTCCCCCTATATTAATATCGGTCCAATAAAATCTGTGTAGATGTTGAAGCTAATATCGGGTTTTGAAAATTAAAGCTGTTTCTTTACGTATATAATCGTATATTGCTTTCTTTGTTGTTGGTGTTATATGAATAAGGATTTATATTATTGAGGAGTTTATTATGACTAAAAAATCGAACAAAGTTTTTCAACACCTGTTAGATTCTTAATTCGATTATATTTAAAACGCTCCATTTTCACTATGTTTTGGATCATAATTTACTCCTTTCATATCTCAGCATTGTTTCCTCATAAGCTTCTGTTGATGTTGTTTTTCTTAAGTAGTAACATCATACCGACCAAATGGCATTGTTGTGGATGTGGTGCAGTGCAATTAGCTTTCAAGTTAAAATAAACTTGAATATAAATTACACCCACCTTTCACTGGAACCATTTAAAAAGATATTAATTATTTAAAAACTATATAATATATCTTCTGAAATTTAGGGTTTGATTGATTTTTTTCCTACTCTTGCACATTGATTTCTAGTTTTTTAACTGACTCTTAAGTTACTCTTAAGTTCTATAGTTGTGATTAAAAATCTGATTTAAGTTTATTTACTATGTAATTATAATAAATTATTATGTGTATATATATTAATATATTTATACAAATATCAAAACAGTTACATTATTAGGTTACACAAGGTTCCCTAAATTAAACTGCTAGGGAATTTGACTTACACCGAGAATATATTTACGAAATAGATTTAAAAATTTATTTTCAATAAATTAGATTTTTGTGTACATTTCCGTACACATAGTCATAAATTCTCTATTTACTGTAGCTCACCCCCATCAATTAAGCTTTAGGGTTTTCCGTTATTCTTTTATTCTCCACTCCTGCGCATTGGTGTTGGGGCATTGTATGTTTTCCATTCAGTCGTCCGAACAACAGAAACAAAAAATGGATTATTTATTGTGACTGTAGCGTCTATTTTGACATGTCGACTGTATGGAAAAGGGGTTCATTTAATGGGTTTAACATAAATGACCACAAAGATTACATCATAAATTATCAATTGTTTATTTGCTCCAATCAAGAAATATGATTGCATTATTTTGGTTTGTTATTGTTTGCTGTTGTCATCAGTCCATTGAAAGCGTACATGTCGGAAAGGACAAATATGTCATTCACGTAATTTCACAAATCGTTTGGAAATTGTTTACTATTAGTGATTAAATCTAAAAGTGTGCTTTGTTTAGTTTTATATACTGGTATCAGTAAAATTGTTTTGTGCTTTATTAAGGATTTGTGTGTAAAAATAGGGAATGTCCTTTTCTTTTTGTTTAATAGTAACGATTATATATTTTTATTCTCTAAGGTATAAATAAATTTTCTTTCTTAATGATTATCACCTAAATATACTTTCAAAATTGGCATTGAAAAAGTTTGTATATTAGTTTTTATGTCATTTACAAAAGGAAGTTGAATATTTATACTTTATATATAAAATATGAAGCAATTAGATTAGCTTTTCGACTTTCCTACTTTCTCTCCTATATGGAGGACGAACTAACAAGAACTATATAGAAATTGGAAGTCTCCATTGATAATCCTCATATCAAGTTTTCAGATATCCTATATAAAAAATTTCTTATACTTTCCGGTTTACATATATCTAAGGTGGAGTAATTTCCTTTTCAGCATTTTTATTAATGCAATGTCTATAAGGAATAGATTCCATATACAGTTCCTTTATCGACTTGTAATAATTTTAAATAGAATTTATTAACTTTTATATCAACTATATAAAAAAAAATTTTATTTAGAAATTCAGTCAGAAATGCATGGTATGTAGTCTGTGTTATAAAAAATCTCAGCAGAATATAAATAAGCCTTAATTATTAGATATTCATTCAAAGAGTAAAAAGCTAAACAATATATTTAGTCAAAATCCATGATTTAAGTAGTGAACGACTCATATATGAGCTTACAAACACAAACAAAGTAACACTAGATTGTATACCAGGGTATGAGTGATTTGATAGTAATAAAATACTAAACTACCAGAAAGGAGGGCACAGAAATTCTCTTCATAATGACAACAACTTGTCAGATTATTAGGGAATACTTGATATATTCGTATATCTACTACGAATATATATCATTAACAAATTTAAAATAACTCTTAGGAATTGAATTATTTAGTTAATAAATATTTTTATATAGACCATTTAATTCATAATAAAGAACATTTGATTCACCTAAATTCAATACTGTCCTCTTAACTTGTAAGAAACCCAAAATGTTTCCATGTTATCTTTAAATTTGCTTTTAAACAAAAAAGGGAAAAATTATTGTGCATTTGATAACCAAACGAAAAAATTAAAGAATGCCGCATATACAAATTAAATATTCCAAAAACATGAGTCATCACACTGAACAGTCACTGGTACCTCTAATGCTGTGATCAATCAAATGAAATTACAATGTTTCTCTCTAAAAGGGAAAACCAACAAAAGTGATAAAGCGTAATTGGTGTATTTGATATATTAAACCGATATATAAACTATATATCTTGATGTTGATGACGCAGGCTTACTGAATTACTATGTATAAATTGCACCTGATATATTCTCTAGAACTGCCCCTTAGCTAGCACTTTAATATGTTTAATTCAATTGATAAATCGATTTTTAAAAATATTGCAGTATTATTAGAAAACCAAAAATATGTCATATAATTTTATGCTATAACCAGATATAACCGGAAATATTATGACTGATTATATTGATGAATAAAGCGAAATATCTTTTTAAGCAATATGATTTATAATATTATGAAATATTATGACTGATTATATATGACTGAGAGAGAATATAGTACATTGATGAATAGAGCGAGCTATCTCTTTAAACACTGGGATTTATAATATTTCAAGTCTTGTAAGTCTGTTACAAAATCAAACTAAATTTGGATTAGATAAAACATACGTTAAGTAATTATAAAAAGACATCAAGATCGCTACTAGGTGTGGAGGATTACAGGAAAGAGAACCCTCCCTCTCTCCTTGGTAATATAGAATACACTGGAACAACCTTCCATCCTCCCTCACACATCTCAACCTGCGTCATAAATTGGTTACCAAGCCTGATATTCCTTCTTATTTCGAAGGTATCTATTTACCTTAATAAATAACAAAGAAATCAGTATATTTACTTCACATATTTTGGTCTTTGAAACTAATATTTCAAACTCATTCTTAAATATTTTAGATAGTCATGAATCTAGAAAAGACATTGAGAAATAGGTTTCGGTTCAAACAATTAGCAGATGGTACTGATTCTTTTTATGAAGCTTATCAAGAATATATGTACTTTATTTTTTCTTCAGTGTCTATTTTAGAATAAAAATTTGATCACATCTTGACAAGGTTACTATAAAAATAATTATAATAATTTAATTATTTTATATAAAGAAAGCTGATCAAGCAACTTTAAATTTTTTATGGACTCGTTTAATCGCCTAAAGGAATGAAAATTAAATTAACACATAGAATAAACTGTGAAAAAATTTTATTCAATTTTGGATTATACCATATTTAATCTCAATTAGAGTCTATAAAAAATAATAATTTGAAAATTAACATATAATATATATAATTGACAGGTTAGTTCATCTTTACCTAATGGAGAGTGGTGTCCTCTATGTTGCTCGTGCGTTAATATTTAGTCTGTGCGTGTACAAACTCTAATCCTGTGGTACTACATCGGCTATTATTTGAGCTTAAGTAGTCTTTGAGTACAAGGCCGTCATTCTAACCTAATCTAATCATTGCATAAGTTCGAAAAGTCTGAAACGCAGCGGCTAAGAACGCCATTGCTATTACTAGAATTACTAGAATGCTATTACTATTACTAAATCTGTAATATAATGAAGACGAAGAAAAGATTAATGTAGATCAATTTCTTAGTTGACACCAATCGCAATTAGTTAGTTTTATTAACAGATTTGAATATATTTTGAAATTTTTTTTTGGCAATTACTACGTATATTTCGATATTATTTTTCTCTTATATTTTTAAAAATGAAAAAGTAAAATAAAATAAATGTAATATCGTAGATATAAAAAACTAGGTCAAGTAGTCAATTTCGTATTTACAAAATGAAATAATCGAAAATTCTTAAAATCAACCGCTAAAAACATTTTCTTTTCTATATTTGCAGAACGCTAACTTATATGATTTCAAAAGGGAATCATCGTCCCAGCTGTTCGAAATATAAAATCTGAAGTAAAACTAAATATATCAGTCCCAGATCTAAACGAAGATGATGTCGTAAAGACTACGAGTTCAACGGCGGTAGCAAGTCAGCAAGGGCAAAATCTTTATCAGTAGTGTACAGCTACGGCTGTTAACTGCTAAAGATAGCGCACCTCCGGCCGTTCGGCTTCTTAATACAGTAAGTTATTTTATTATAGTATTTTTATATGACGACTTCGATTAGATTTTGATTTTAATGAGATTATTTTTTTATTGCCTTCAGGATGTCTCGTACCATCACCGAGACATTACCAGCACGTGTTCGTTTGCGTGGCATGACTACTTCAAATACTTCACCAAGTGCAGCCGACGGAAATGGTGGGAAGGGTGGTGGTGGTGGTGGTGGTGGGAGTAGCAGCGGTGGAGCAGCTAGTAGTAGCGGCTGTACACGTTCCTGTGGCGTCCATAGTACCACAGGTGGAACACGGGCGACGATTACCTTGACAAGCAATTCCGCAAATGCATCAACATCAAGAAATCAACGACATCGCTCACGAAAGAAATGCTGTTTCTGTTGGTGTTGGTGTTGTTTCTGCACATGGTAGGACATTGTTTTATTTTAACCTTTTATATTGTAATATTGCAAAAATAATGGAATTAATAACTTTCATTTCTCATTTTTTTTATTTATTTTCATGTATAAAATTTTACCGACTAAAGGGAGAGATGGTAAGTGCAATAGCAAGTTTTCACTTAAGAACACAACAATTTTAACACAATTATTTTGTAAGACTTGACTTAACTCATACGCTCTTTTCAAATATCAATCATACGCACTGTCGGCCGGTTCCTTTTAGTTATAAACATTTTAAGAGACTGAGAATGAGAATATCAAGTTATTGCATTGACTTTAAAAGGACAAAGATGGATATCCTTTTAATGTTAAAAGTTGTTAGAGATTCGATTAAAATGCTTTTGAATGTGTTAGGGGTGTACTAATAAAATTTGTCATACTTTATTGAAGACAATATAATATTCTCAATTCAATTAAAAAATTCTAATACATTTACTGAGTTTATTGAAAAGCAATTAAATGTAAAATCGAGCTGACAATAGCAGCGTATCCACGATAGTGTTAAGGGGGTTACACTGAAAAATACACCCAATTTTTTGTAGTGTATTTTCTTTAGATTATATATTATTCAGTGGAAGTATTATTATAAGCAAGGCAGATCTATACTTACATCCTCTGTGACAACACAACATATTGACAAAGTTTATATATAAATTTAAATTACAGCATTATAAAATGAAGTTTAGTTAATTGCCCTAATTGAGTTCTAATAAAAAAGGAGTCATATTTCTTTAAAACACTTAATTATCTTAAAATTACAAAGGTTTAATTTATAAAATATATACCTATACTTAGGAAAATGATTTTTTATCTTATTGAAAAGAATATACATAAAGATACTTTCGTATCTTAAGCAAAAGACTTAAGGGGTTAAGTCTTTAAGTGTTGTGCAAATGACGTTTGTAGACTTAAGGATTCTATTTAATTACTTTATAGGTCACTGCAAGCTGTGTAATCATGGCTTGCAATTAAAGATAATAGGCGAAGGCTTTTAAATACAGTAATAGACACTATCTATATATGTTTTCCAAAATATAATTTTTATTTATTTTTTAATATTTAATCAAATATTAATAAATAATTTAGAGATACAGATCTAATGGTGAATTCAAAAAAAATTAATCATAGTATGAATTGAGGTTTCTGCTAACTTAACACATCTTTGTGTTCATAAAATGCGAATTCAATGCATATTAGTGGCAAGTCCTGATATTAATGAATATATTATTTTAATTTTAGTTTTAGATATTGTCATAATATAGGAATTAATAATTTTGTTTCTCTATTATTATTTTTATAAACCAAAATTATTGCTTAAAGGGTAAACTGTTAAGTGTGATTGAACATTTTTTGTTTAAAACAAAACAAATAATATTATTAATATGAGGAACCCCTCTATTTTGCTTAGTCACATATTTTATCGATACAGAATTTGGTCCTCTAGAAACCAAATTTTTCTTCAACATTTGCATGTCATCTTTACCTAAACCATGAGAATCACAAATTTCTGTCATTATCCTTTCTTTGACAATAATAATTTATATGTAATAATAATTATATTATAATAATATAGTAATATGACTATGTATATTTTATATTATAATTTCATATAAAAATATAATAATTTTTTAATATATTCTCAGACGCATATAGGGTTACAGTTTTATCTCTAAGTTCTCTAAAACAAAATTTTACGTTGTTTATTAATATTTAGTTTCTGAGTGTCGATAATTCTATTAAATTTAGAAAAATATCATAAGATATATATTTCTATATTACTATATATTTAAAATATATAGTTTTCATATTTTGGCAAAATAATTTTGTTAAAAAAATATGGAATTAATATAAATTAGTTTCAAATGGTAATATCTTTTTTATTTATAATTAATAATAATTATAATAATTATTAAGAAATAAAAAAGTGAATTAACTATTTCAATATTTCTTTTTATTTATTCAATACTGTCAATATATGTTTTTCAAAATTATATTATATTCACAATTATTAAAACATAATCTTTATTTAAATTCCCAATACACATAATTTGATAAATTTATTTTTATGTTGTAATATTATAATAACATTGGTATTAATATCTTTTATTTTTCTATTTTTCTGTTTGTCAAATGCGGATTCGATGCGATTTAGTCGCAAATGGTAAATCACTTTTTATTCATCTAATGTTTTAAAAATATTATTTTATTTAATTTTTTATTTGTATTTTGTTGTAATGTTGTAAAAAAAATATTGGAATTAATAATAACTTTTATTTTTCTAAATTTATTTTCATGTACAAAATGAATTATCCAAAGGTTACAGTGGTAAGTGCAATTAAAAATTTTTGCTTAAGAATAAAATAATTATTTTATAAAATTTAACTCCGACACTTAAAAATGTCACTCATACGCACTGTTGGCCGGTTGGTTGTAGCTTAACAGTTCCAAAGACTGTAAATCTAATATTAAATCAACTGCGTTTGACTTCAAAATGACTAGAATTTTTTTTTTAATAGTAATAGTTATTGAAAATTAATTTTGTTTATTTTTAGAAGAGTGAGAGGTGGCCTAATGTAATTTGTCGTATTAGTTACTAGAAAATATGATATATTAAGTTTAATAAAAAAAACACTCAATCATTTTAGAAGTGTTTTGAAAAGCAGTTGAGTATAATATGGGAGTAATAATGTATTTTTGTGTATTTAAATTAAAATTTAATTAAAATTACAACTTAATGGTGTTGAAAATATTAAATATAGGTTAAGTAATAGTTTCAGTGGAGTTGCAAAATAAAAACGCAAAAGCCATAGGTTAATAAAATACTAACATATCTTTTGAAACTACTAATTGTAGAATATTAAAAAATATAGCAAGTTGAATATGATTGTATTTTAAATTAAAAATATATAGTACTATGACTGAACTATTAAAAATATAATGTACTGATCAATTTGAATTGATATTGTGAAACAAGAAAGTCACATATTTAGACTGTATTCTATTTACATAGGATATCTTAATAGCACCAAGCTATTGATAATATGGTTTAAATAAATTGAAAATCAGAAAAGTTTATTAGTTTTTAAGGTTATTGCGATGAAGTTTAATATTAGAGTAGCTTGAAAAAATTTATTGCAATTGCACAGTGCCTCATTAGTACTTCAACAAGTACAAGAACTACAGACTTACTGAAATCTAAACGTTTTTTGTTTTTATTCTTGTTTCATATAGGTCATAAGGTTTAAACGATTCAGGTTCTATTTAGTATAAAAATAATCCATTTTCTTATAGAATGAAATAATATTTTTATGAAAATAAATAAATAAGAATGGGTTATATTACCTTTTGTTTATCTAAAATCATCTAAATTTTATACTAATTTTTTTTTTTATGTTATTATATTGTTACAATAATATTGACATTAATTACTTTTGTTTTTCCATTTTTTTATTTTCATGTACAAAAATTGTTACCAAAAGGATTTCTTGGTAAGTGCAATTAAAATGTTTACTAAAGAACAATATCATTTTAATACATTTATTCTGTGAAATTTTAAACTTACATTCAAATAAATCAATCATACGCACTGTTAGCAAGTTGGTTATGGTTCAGCACTTCAAAAGGTTGCATATGTAAAACTAAATAAATTGCATTGGCTTTGTAAGGACAAAGATGCATATCCTTTTAATGGTGAAAGTTGTTAGAGATTCAATTAAAATGTCAGAAGTGCACAAATAGAATTTGTTGCAATAAATCGTTGACAATTTGATATGCCACCCTCCATTGAAAAGTTCTAGTACATTTAACGAGTTTGTTAAAAAGCAGTTAAAAAAACGGAAATACTTATTTCTTCAATAATATAATAAAATTGTTAAAAAAAAAAGATTCAACTTTAACTAGTGAATTAGTAAATGTTGATTGTTTAATGATATCATTGAGGTTACAATGTTAAAAAGGAGGAGCTACCAAAATGTTGCTCCTAATGAGCTGTTAAGCAGCAGTATTTAATTAAAGTGGTATTTGGTAAAAATTTTGGTTTAAATAGCCAGCTACTTGAGAATTAAAAATGGTTTCTATTTAAGATGTTTTTTAATGAAATGTATTTTAGAAGAACTAAAATGCTTTATTACTATTTATGTATGTTGCACGAATATTTTAACATTTAAAAGAACATATTAAAATAAATGCTTGTATTTTGAGTAAAAGCATATAAGACCTAATATATAATTAAATTAGTTCAGTTTGAATCAGTTTAAAAGTTATATCCGTCAGAGGTTGGTTATATCTATAGTTGATTTAAGAAAAAGGGTAAAACATTTATAATCACATGATTTTAGTAAGAAGAAGTGTTACAGAATTATATCACAACTTTTCAATGATTGTTCAGCATTAAACGTTATTCTATAGTGTACGAGTAATATTTAGTTTATGATACAAGCTTATAGCTTATATATATAAAACCTATTTATAGGTTACACAGTTATATATTATATATTGAATATATAAAATATTTAGGTGTGGTACTAACTAAATAATAGTCCCATTTCTTTGCTGGCTTGGTCATGTCATGAAATGGAACGACTACGCTCCAGCAAAAAGCTATTTAAAGCGGTAGTTGGAAGAAGAAGCTGTAAAAGACGGTATATGTCTGTTTGGTGGAGTGATCAAGTTCTGGAAGCAATAACCGTATTTTGGGTATAAGACTAGAGAGGACACACACGTAACAAAAGCGCCTGAAAGGATATACTGCGTTGGGTAAAAAGATTGTTATAGACATTTAGGTAACTAAGGAATTATAGTGGTCTCTCTTCGTTCTAGTAAACAAGCGTATTAGGAATTCTCTTGATGAAGGCAAAAGTGAATTTCCCGAAATACGTAGAGAAATATACTAAAAACAACAATCGAATTAAAAGTTAAAATTCTGAAAAAATAAAACCGACTTTCAGCATTAAGTGTTCTATTTGTGCGATAAAATTATTATCAAAGCATTGATTTCGATCAGAGATTCATTACTAGAATTCGTTTACATAGTTTAGGTGTAATCGCATCATCATGAGATGTTTCTTAGCACTTTGAGATTATTTACTGTTGAAGGTAGAAGTTGTAGAAATAGAACGCTATTTTCTTTCCTTTATCTCTATAAAAGCTGTTACTAAAACTGTATTTTTAAAAATCTGGTTTCTTCTTTTTTATATATATATATTCTGTTTTATTCATTCTATTTATCCTTCCACTGTTTAACGTTCCATACCTAAAAGCAATTTTGAACTCTTGAAAGAAAAAGCATTAAAAAAGTTCTTACGCTTAAGCACAAACTCACAAACTCCACACACAGCGCAACCGACACAAAAATTAATTAAAATGTGTATTATTTTCATGATATTAAATGATTTACAAAAACAATTGCTAATCTCTCAGCTGCATATAAATAAAACTCTAATACATTTAGTTGCTTCTGATTTGTACAGAACTATGCAAAAGAAACCCGAAAAAATCAGGCTGAGTGGGAAGAAGAGAATTCGCCTTTTGAGAGAAAAATGAAGCAGTCATGCTTTCACATTGGAAAGCAAAAACAAACAAAAACAAACGACAACATTTTTCTCTAGGAAGAAACAATATTGCTTCCATTGTCGTGTTTTTGAAAGCTCTTCTGCTTTTGCAAACATTTCTCAATAAAATATTTGATTTTGATTTTTGCTTCTGTTTCTGTTTCTATTTTGTTTTTGTTTTTGTTTGTAGCACTAAATTATCTCTTAGAATATACACAAATAATTGTACACTCAAACGAATTCATACGCACACACAGCCATACATAAAAACATATGTGCGCCATTCTAGATTCGCCATTCCTAAGCACAATTCCTTTTATTTGTTGTACAATTCGACAATTCGACAATTCGACAACTCGAGCATTCATTAACAGTTTATAAATATTTAATTTAATTATTTGTTTTTACATATAAATTCATTTATGTTAGTATGCATATAAGTGTGCGTTTTCTTCTTCTTGCTTGATTTTTAGTGAGCAATTAAATATTTACATGTGCACATTATGGCACATGTGTATGTGTGTGTGTGTGTGTGTGTATGTTATTAAGCGTTTTTCTTCATTACATTTGCTTGTTTTGTATTTATCTGCATTTTAATGTAAATATCGAAATATTTTCCTTATATATAAATAATTGAAAATTGTGAGGTATAAAATCTTGCAAATTTTTGTTACATATTTTATTCATTCCCGTATGGAATTCATTGAGGAAAATTGTTGCTACTTGTATTAACGGTTTTGTTGTTGTTTCTTTTTTTTCATAAGCAAACAAAGGAATTTTCTCTCAGTGTAGCGATGCAGAATGGTTTGACTTGACTGTTTAGCACTCAGAGGTTAACAGTTTGTTGCTTAACTTACTTTCAAATAAACATACGAAATAATAACTAATTATTATTAATAATAAATAAGTAATTTTGGTATTTATATTACAAATTAATGTATTTGAAATTTTTTTATTTTATTTTGCACCTTAAGTTTTTAAATTAGTTTTTTTTTTTGGAAAATTTTTTTTATATACAATTCTTTTTAAAATTTTTTTAAAATATTAATTTTTTTTTACATTAATTTTTTTTTAGATTAATTTTTTTAAACAAAATTTTTTTAAATAATTTTTTTTTAATTTATCATATATGGATATGACTTATAAAGAATATAATTAGATCCACACTCACCACGTCTGCAAACTTCTATAATATCAATTTTTATAAAAGTACACATGTTAGGAGAAAATCTTTATTTAAGAAGAATATATAAACAATTTCAATTCAATCTACTTAAGTTTCCTTACAATTCAAAAAGTTTTCAATCTCTATCATTTATAGAGCTGGAGATATGACCATTTAAAAATTGTTCTGAAATGCAAATTCTCAAAACCTCATGGGTCCATATCTAAGAAAAATTTTAAAAATTGTTTAAATTATTTTTAAAATATTTAATTTTAAATATTGAAAATAAAATATTTGATTAATTATCTTCACAATGATAATTGTAAAAATTAATTTTTCCTTTTTTTCATTTTATTAAAAAATGAAAAAGCTTAGCTTATGAAAAAATGAAAAATATCAGTGGAAATGCTACCAGAATAATCTTTCCCATGAATTAGGAAAGGTATTTTCAGTTGTTATTGCACAATATTTGTAAATATTTGTGAATTAATTTTATATATATTATCTATTTTCTTAATTTTTGAATAAGTACGGCTTACTGAAACCATTACTAAAAGACTAAAGGCAGCACTAAAATTGTATATTTGACAAGGCACATCGGCAGCTTATGGATCA